TGCTGCCACCAAAAAAAAACTTTTAAATATTTTGAATTTTATATTTAGCGAAATATTAACCATTGCTTAAATTACAGAGAACTAGTCATAGGCCACAAAAAATAGTAGCAGACGATGAGATTCGTACATTTAAAAATGTTGGGGTGAGTGACCTCATTCAGAACATAGTCGATCGTTTTTGTTGATTTACAAAAACGAAATAAATTGCTTTAAGCTAAGAGATATATCTCAACAAACATCTCGCTTGTTTGTATTCTGTTTCTTTTTAAAACGTAATAGGTGGCTACTGGCACTAATAATAACTGTCATTTGAAAATTGCTGGCTTAGATCTATCTAATAAAGGTATCGAACACTTACTCGAAAGCAATTTTTAGACTAAATATTGGGTTTCATTATAAAGGTGGAATGCTCTGTGGTCTAAGTCAGTTATATTCTGGAATAAGCATTTTGTCTTCACGTTGAGATGCCGTATTTTTTTGAATTCTGCTAATATTACAATAGATATCTTAATCTTATGTACAAATGTGTAATTTAATATCTGGAACCACCAGGAACCACTCGTTAAGAAAAAATGGGAACAGTCAGAAACATTTAAAAAACCAGTAGCATTTTATGTCTGATGAAATGTTATCAAGAGTGTTTGGCTCCTTCTAACGAAAATAGTAATTCGCACGGTGTAGTGTATAGATTTCCATCGGTTTCGAATTGGAATATTTTAATTTATAGAGATAACCGTCGCTACGTATCATGAATATAAACGAGTCAAGACAAAAACAAGATATTATGTCTGAGGAGAAATAATAAGAGGCGTTCGACAGCCTCAATCGGTCTAGCCGCTATCGTCCTTGAGAGTAGAAATCCTTGATGAGTACAATCAACCGCCACCGGATAGTCGTCTCCGTTCAGGGCTGCCAATTAATATTTTAACTACATGTAAGGCGAGTTGTAGAGTCTATTTCAATTCAACTTGTATAATATTAGCTTGTTGCGTGAACTAGTTTGCTAACTATTTTTATTAAATATTATTTAATGGGTCGGTTGCTTGTATCTAGTTTATGTTTTATAATACGTTTATGTAGAATCCGATTTGAAAAACTATTCTTTTTTTTAATAAATAATACTAAATATTTGATTTATTACTAAGATAAGATTTTATTATAGCTATCATAGAACAACCCTAAAATTATTATTAATATAGCATAGGTGCTAGGAAATGCGAGAAAAACTTAAATTGAAATTAACTAAGCGCCTAAAGTTATGAAATAAGGTTATAAATAATCAAAATCAAAACACGGGTCAAAATATTAGTAAATGCGGGGTGAATGATACCTAGGTAATTAAGGTGCGCCATTGAAGTGCGCAGTCGTTTTTTTTATGTTTGCTTTTATATCGCAGATCATAAAGCTAATATTCAATTGCTAATTTCAAATATTATTACCTATATTTGCATTTTTAAAGTAAAAAATTTTTTTCTTTATTTTTCTTCTTTAGTTGTTGTTCTCAAGTCTCGTGCTTATGTTATTAAACTTTGTTATTATTTAATTAATTTATGATTTATTTTTTATAAATTTATCTTTTTTTTTTCAATATTTACTTTAATTTCGTTATCTCTAATGTACACACTCTCAATAATTACATGTACACACTCATGTCTACACACAGCAGGCACCCAAGTATTTGATAATACGTTTTAATCAAAACGAGTACGTAAACATGTCACGCGTTAAATCCAACCGCAGCTTAAATTGAATTTAACTCCAGCCACGACCTGTCAACTTATCGAATATAAATTCTCTTAATAATCGTCACCAATTACGTGAGCGTTCGGTCTCGTACTATCTATCGTTGCAGAAATGCTGCAACGGAGAATTACTACGAAGGATTAAGATCTTTTTGCGGTGGCATGCAAGGGAGAAATTGAATTGTCAAAAGGGACTTTGATTGGCCTTTTTAGTACGGCAGACTTGTCGTGAGGCGCGCCGGGCCAGTCGTGAGTCTACCGCGAGAAATGCTGGAAGTTATGAAACGATCGCCGACAAACTTGAAATAAGAGTGGCGATAATTATTTTATCTTTGTCAATTTCTCATAAATTACTAATATTGTAACTAAACCTAAATTTAAACGATTCTTTGTTTTAAGTAGAAAAAACATATTAGATAGATACCAATGTTTTAGGTTTGATGTTGAGTCAAACAACTGTCTCCGAACCGAACCGTCACTTGTGCGTCCACGCAAGTCCGTGATTCCGTATTGAGTCATTGAAACTAAATAAAAAAACACAGTGCCGACAGAAGTGAAAACTTATTTTGTTCCCGATTTGTGAAGTTCCGACATGAGTATGTATAGGGTCTACCAATAGGGATGACCTGGTTTTGACAGCTCATAGCAGCCATGTTTGATGATGGATCTTTGACGTCTCTTGACATTTGTATTCAGTAGGGTTTGCCATTTTATCATGTCACGTTTCACTTTAAACCAACGCTTGGAAATTGACAAAAACTTCTTTGAAAGTGACGAAGGAAACCCTGTTACTGTGAATGGCGAGCGCTATAACTCGATGTTAACCGAATATTTCTTTCCGGAATTTGATGATATTGATACAGACGACCTTTATTTTCAATAAGACGGTGCACCACCTCACATTACTCGAGTGAACATGGAATTATTGCGTGGAAAGTTTGGTGAGTCGTTAATTACGAGAAATGGGCCGATCAGTTGGTTGATCACCAAGATAGTGTGATTTAACACCTTTAGACTATTTTCTTTGGGGTTACGTTAAATCTAAAGTGTACAGCAATAATCCAGCTACAATTCGTGACCTAAAAACTAACATTCGGCGAGCCATAGCCGACATACCGGCCGAAATGGTGCACCGCGTCATCGAAAATTGGCGTGGCATCGAAAATTGTGACCGTCTGCAAAAAGAGCCGCGGCGGTCATTTGGCCGATATATTATTTAAAACATAAATTGCATAAAATTATCTATCAAATAAATCAATTGGATGCATTTTTCATCAAAAATTTTGTGTTTTATTCAATTTTTAAACCAGGACGTTCTTATTGGTAGACCCCATATATACACAATATATGTTTATATTATATATAGTTATATTATGAATATATTTCAACCCAAACTCAACTCTCGTGTAAACGGGGCCAATATATGTAGTTACTTATATACAGTGGTGTCGGTAACGGTAACAGTGTCGCGAGTTTATTCCCCCTCTCCAAAAATACATTCTTTTGTTTGTTATTTAAAAATTCCCAACGCGTCTAAATAAGTTCTCCCTTCAAAAAATGTTAAGTAAAATGTTATTTTAAGTCCCTTGTTAATATTGTTTATAGACAATAAAGAGTATTCAGTCTAGAATAAAGCTTGCTTATCAAGTCTTCGATTACACTCACAACATTACATTATTTTGCCTCCGGGTGGCGCGGCGGTGGGACCGAGGCGCGACGCTCGATAGTCTGTCACAGTCAAGTTCACGGCCTCGGCCAATGTTCCGCAACATTTCCTCGTTCTGTTTCGTTACTCTTTTATTTATCACTGCGATGTTATTGAATCAAAAGCATTGCAATTAATAACCATGTTTCCCGACAAGTCTATATTGTAAGTGCTATCGGTTTTTCGATGCTGAAAAAATATATTTGATGATCATAAGAAATGTTTATATTTTCAAAATCTTTTATTGGCAAAAATATTTGAATTCGAAAACACACGTCAAATTTAAATTCGGTATAAAATTAAACTATTATTACATTTCTTGAAGAATGTTATTGATATTCTACACATTACATCACATCAACAGCCTTTATTAGTCCACTGCTAGACATAAGCCTCTCCTTACAAAGGAGGTCTTGGCCTACTATCCCACGCTGGTCAGACGGGTTGGTATAGGGTTTGTGTAAAGTTTTATATGTCCTTATATAAACAAACACAGTTTTGTTAAATCCTTATATTTTGATAGTAATAGTTTTCAGAAAGTGTGCTGTACTCCTCGTATACTCGTATGTAATATCTAGATACAATGTAATTCCTTCTCATCTACATTTGCCAATTTATGCCTGCTTACTAATTGGTGTTGAGTTTTACTGCGATACCGTTAGGTGTTTTAATCCTTCTGGGCCTCAATTCTGCTATTTTATGTTCACGCCAAGCCACTGGCATACCACTGACACGCTATTGAGATGCCATCGAGTGGCCATTGGCATCGGTATAAATGTCGGTAGTCTACACTAACTCAGTGTCTTTACAGTGACAATGGAATGGCAGTGGCTCATCAGTGGTGATATCAAAAAGATTGCCATATTTGGAAAAAATAATAAATCATTTCCTTATAATTTAAAAATGTATTACGTTTTTTTTAATTTTGGTCCATAAAGTTGTTATGGATTTATCATATTTATTGATACAAATGCATAAACTACAACGACATAATAAACCGTAATTAATAGAATTATCGTTGCTGTTTTTGTTTAGTTAGTGTAGACTACCGATATTTATACCGATGCCAATGGCCACTCGATGGCATCTCAATAGCGTGTCAGTTGTATGACAGTGGCTTGGCGTGAACATAAAATAGCAGAATTGAGGCCCAGTTCATAGCGCTGACCGTAAGTACCCGCTTGTAGTAAGTATTTAATAAAAAGTTGTTTACTGCATTCTGGTCCATCGATGTCTGTATTAATTCATATTCCACGCTCAAATTAGCTAGGTATGAAAGTGTACCTCGCTGCTAGTTTCTAGCCCGGATGGCGGCTGAATTATAATTTAAATAAATGTATCTACGATTTGCGTCTATTTGGATTTAACTGTCAGATATAAATCTCCATAGATCACGAGGTCGTTAATGTGAAATTCGTGTCGGCGCTGTCTCAAAGATAGGTACTGTTATTCCATTGTCGATTCAAATATTCCGCGCTTTCATATTTGTTTAATAACCTATTGTAAGATTTAGTTCAGTACCGAGATTACTATCTTTCCAATACGACTATAAAATGCATGTTAGTATTCATAATGAATCATTGTTATGAAATAGATTGCGTAGTTAGATATTATAATACTTTAAGTAATTCATTTTAGTCTATTTTATAAAACATGTGAGGCCTAGGGTCGGTAGTTTCCACTGTATTTGATATGCTAGCCCTGATAAGACCACGCCGACCACGCGACACTTGTTCAACCCCTTCTAGTGCAGAGGGTTGTTTGCCCTTCCGACTTATTGATTGAACTCACTAATTCTAAACATAAAACAACACTATTTCATTATCATAATTTTAATGTGAGTGTGAGTCTATGATATATCTAAATAAAACTAGTTATAGTTTTATAATAGGCTAGCTACCCGCCCGGCTTCGCACCGGTGCAATGTATGACATCACATTACAAATCTTTGTAATTTTCGGATTTTCTGCATTATTTTGCATTACATGTACAGATTTTCTTTTATTTTGATACTTCTGAAGAAACTTTAACAACCATTTTTTCAAACGCTTCCTAATTCCTAAATTTTTGAGCTTTAAGTAAGTCAAATAATAGTGTGTCATAAAACAGCTTTCATTGTACTATTGATAATCGTGAGTTATATATCTGAAAAGTCACTCTTGGAATAGAACTCTGGGGATAATATATTCACGATTAACATAATTCTTGTTGTTGTGTTTCACTTAATAATTACTTACTTAATAAACTTAATAATCCTACTTGTCATTTTCTTAGTCAAGTATGATCATTGCAACACTTGTTGTGTTAATTCGAATTTACTTAATAACTGTCCATGTAGATAAGACTCAGTCTGCACTCGTTAAATTTTATGAAGCTGTGTATGTGAAATCTGAATGGATACTTACGAGTACTAAGGTGTGTATTGCGGTCAGCGAGGAACTTGCTATAGTTGCGTCACCTCAGTGTCGGTAATGGTTGCGCCAAATCAATCTTAGGTACTAATCGTACCACTCGCTGTCTTGTTCAAATAATTTGTAATATTTATTGCAGCAATATGATCATTTACTCGCCCAGTAACATTAAGCAGTTTTTACAACAATATCATTTTAAGGGGGACCCTTTTCTGAGCATTTATTTTATTTTTACGAATTTATCTGAACTCACAACTACACGTCACTACAAAATCACTCAAATTAACTTAAATGAACAAATAATACACATTTCTAACCCCACATTTGCTACTTTATTTGTATTTCAGGTGACCTAACTAACTATCATATTGGTTGCTACAGTTTACGTCGGGTGCAACAGAAAGCGTTGCGTGCGGCACGAGTTCATCATCATCGAGTTCTTCTTCTTCATCGTCGTCATCTTCGTCCTCGTCTTCATCGTCATCGGACTCGGACACTGCAGACGCCGCTGGCGGCTCTGCACATGCTTCTGCCGATGACTCCAATGTCGCTCTTGCTGCTGCATGTCAATTACAGGTAGCTAGAACATTCACTCAATGCAGTTATAGTATTTGATTGGCAGATGATTGAAATATTTAAATTATTTTGGTGAAGCTACCTATTTTAAACTATGTACTGAAATATCTTTCTCAGGTCATCGACGATGCAGACCTTGCGGAACTATTTCCAGAACAAACACCGAGCGCGCCGGCGCAACAACCCAATTTCTCGACCTTTACAGTGCAAAACGCGGCTCCGGATAGCGACGACAAATCTATTGCTGATAATGGTAAGTCTTGAGTAATAGCGGAAAGTAGCGTAAGTGTTTTGATTTCAAAGTATTATAAATTATTTATATTTCAGGTGACGGATCCAGTAGTGAAATGGAGCTGACGCCTCAGCTGGTGACAGCTGCAATACAAAGAGCTACAGCTGATTCATCTGGTTCTGAAAATGAGTGCTCGAATACAGATCCTGTTCACCCTAACACTACGCACTACGCATCGAGTTTGCTACAAGAGTTTGTGGCGCGGACTCAATTACTTAGTAGTACGGCACCACTAACTACAGCGCCAACATCGTTATCATGCGGAATAAATACCAATCCCATTGAAGGAGTTGCGACAATAAGCGACTGCGTACTCGGACAAATTAACAACTTGTCGGAAATAGCTCCTATATCTTCGAATTTTTTAACAACATCTCAACATTTGAGTCCACAGCAAACTGAAGAACTTTCGCAAATCAATGAAGATCTTGAAGAAATAACTGGTGTGACCGACTCTGTATCAATGCCTAATCCACCTAGTCTTGATGATTGTGTTGATAATAATGATTTCATGAATTTGGATATAACACAAGGAAATTCGGAGTTAGGAAATGCTAATGATCTCTTGAAAAGTTCTCCCTTAACAGTAGTTAGTTCAGATATTAATGATTTGAATCAAGTAGACTCTCAAAAGTTGGATACAATTAGTACAAACTCTATTGAATCTCATGAAGATGTTAAAAACGTTATCGTTGAATCTAGAAGAAAAAGAGGGCGACCTCGAAAAGTACGTAAAACTGAGGAAGACATTGAATCTCAAAAAGAGGATAAACCGGTAGTCAACGTAATTAATTTTCACAATAACAACGATCCTCCGAATGTATCTCCAGATTCTGGCATTCTCTCCAATCATAATTCACCCACTCACTCGCCATTACGGCGACATGAAACAGAAGAAACAAATAACAGACTCAGTAGAAAATCCATTCAAAAAGAAAACACTACTAGAGAAAGAAGAGCGATGAGATCGAAGTCCAAAAGTAAATCACGCGCGAATAATAGATCTGATTCGAGTGATTGTGATTTTCAAAAAAAAAGAATAGAAAGAGAAATAAAACAAATTAAAACGGAAGCGCCATCGCCAGTACCACTAAAACAGGAACAGAATAAGTTTGAAAAGAATAAGAAATCTGATCACAAATTAGATATAGCCGCGTTAGATAGAATGTTATATGCCACTGACAGAGTGTTATACCCACCAAGGAAAAAAGTAGGCCGTAAACCACTGAGTAGAACCAAAACAACTAAGAGCACTCCCAAGACTTTAAAGGATAAAAATCAGTATGATTCTGGTGATAGCGATGACTCGGTACCTACCAACAGGTCTGTGTTATCAGGAGTATATGCCAAACGTAAGGAGTTAAATAATAAAATTGCCAATTTACCAAAAAAAAAAAAATACAACATTTGGTAACGCTTGGCGAGATAACCAAAGTGAAAATGAAGCAGCTGCAGATGATCCATTAGATCCAACTTGGAAACAAATTGACTTAAATCCTAAATATAAAGATATTTTATCGGGATATAAAAGTGACCACGAGTTCAAACCATATAAAAGCTGTAGTCGCCTCATTGAATCTGGATACAAAAGTGATTACGGGTGTCGGTCTGGTTACAAAAGTGATTATTATCGATCGGGCTACAAAACAGACCATAAATCGGGATATAAAAGTGACAAATCGGGGTATAAAACTGATAATAGTGTCAGAAGTATGCGACGGCGCATGAGAAAACTAAAGAAGACAAGATCAGTAAGAGATAGATCGTACTATAAAAATCAAAAACATTTTGTATCAGAACAAGAAATAATATCATTAGCTAATAAAACATTTAGCAACTTGACTTTAGGTCACAGTTCAAGTGACTCTGAAAGCGAAAGCTATTTACGGCAGACCAATGCTACTCCGAAGTACACAAGTGTTTGCATAAAATATCCACTGTCTTCAAAGTATGAGTTCGGCTTTTCAAAGGTTCCTCAAAAGCATGTGTTTAGACTAAATACTTCTGACCCGTTTGCTCCTGGTCCAGTGTTTAGTGGTTTGCAACGTCCAGTAACAACACACAACATTTTCAAAGTGATAAACAACAATAACAATAATACATTGCTCAAGTCACCAAGTAAAGCTTCTAGTTACATTGGGACCCCATTACCAGCGTTAAAACCTGCATTTACTCATAAATTTGGCATTTCACCTATTTGTACAGCATCTAAACTTCAAGGTTCAAAGAAGGAAAATGATAACAGCTTCAAATATTTTTCTCGGAGTTTATCGCCAAAAAATAAAAAACAATTAAAAAATGTTAATACGCAATTTCTAAACGGAGCTAAAAAGGAAAAAGAAATAGCACCTAAATCTCTACCAGGTATTTTTGAAAAAGCAAAAAATACTTATGTACCCAATAAGTCTCTTTCAAGAAATGTATTTCTCAATCTCATAAAACCGCATGTAAAAGCATCGTTTCATACTAAAAAACATAGAAGGACAGTCGTTTTGGCACCACCGAAAATAAACTTAAAACCTACTGAAAGAATGTCTCGTCTGCCCGTCAAGACTGAGACCAAACATCACAGACACAAAAGTAAGCGTAGACATCGTTCTAGATCCGTGTCTAAATGTCGAGACGCTTATACGAAAACTATAGAATCGGTTGATCAAAAGTTCACTCAGGATATGGACAGCCTTGTTTCTAATTTTATTAAGTTATGTCAAATAGCACCAAATTTAATAGCAAGTGTTGCAGAAAACTTACCAAAAGCAGAAAAAACTTCAACAGAAATAACGTCTACAAAGGTAGTAAAAAGAGGATCAAAGAAACGTAAAACACTAGATAATCAAGAAGCAGCTACACCTACTTCTAAAAGAAGGCATAAAAAACAACTAGCAGAATCTCAAAGTAAAGGTGGTAAAGATACCAACGAACATAAATTACCACTTAAAAAGAGACATTATCATATAAACTCATCTACGGGTAATTCGTTAAGCTTAAGCCTTGTGTCAACTGAGTTTGATGAAAGTTCCAAAAATAGCACCAGTCCGGAGAAGTTTTTATGTACAGAGACGGATTGCACAGGGGAAGTCCAAGGTAATGCACCTGATGAGTCACCCAAATCGAAATCTATAAATGAAAAAGCTAAGAAGAGTACTGATGTTTCGAAAAATGTAACTCAAACAAATTTTTTGAATACCGAATCTTCAACAAAGACATCAAAGCTTACTATTAATACTGACGCTATTGAACTAGCGAATAAAATGGATGAATCTAATACTGTTCTCAATAAAAACCTTACCGCAATACCTATGCACGCCGATGATGAATTATCTATCAAAAGACCTACTTCTGAGCAATCCGAACTTTCAAAAAAAATCTATGAAACATCAGAAAAACTAAAAGCTGTACACAAAATGGTTAATGACTTAGAAAAATCTTTGCCGAAGTCGAAAGACGATGTCAGATCAGAATCAAATAAACAAGATACTATTAAAATATCATCACCAAGAACTGAAGCCAAATCATCGCCTGTTCGGCATTCAGCCCCTATAGTCACTCCTAAAAAACGGCATAGGTTAGAAGCTGACAAAGTCATATCTCATTCAAGTTTAGACCATGTTGTACAGTCTTTATCTAAAAAGTTATCAGAAGACAAAGCTGCAGCGATAAATCCAAAAGAATCTAAAGATGTCGATCAAAATGGTAACAAGGAGGATACTTCAGAGTCAGATAAACCTGATTCGTTGACCTCATCTAACGCTTCTACAAATAATACTTCTATAGATCCTTTAAAGAGTATGTCAGCTCGATCATTGTATAAAAGCTCCATTCCACCGGCACAAAAATCAGAAATAATGACTCGTAAAAAAAATAGACTTGAAGGTTTGACGAGTAATTTAGTATCAAAAATTAATCCAAGTGCTGCTACAAAGGTTTTAGATACTCTTTTAAATAATAATATTCGTAAATCTATAGAATCTCGTATCTTGGAAAAGGAAAAAAATAGCGTAGAAACACCTGGTAAGGTTATCGATGATAAAAATAAAAGTAAAGAACAAACGCAAATTAATACCAGAGCTACAGTTATTAAGTCACCTGTATCAAAAGGTAAAGTTTTAGACACTAAGAAAACTAAAGGATCAGAATCTCCCCTTGGGCAGTCAGTTGTTGTAAACATTGATAAACCTACGGGTATATTTGAACCATCTATTGATATAGAGGAGCAAATTCCTAAATCATCTATATGTGTTACGAATGTATTAACTGATTCAAATAAAGGGAAATCAAAAATTAAAAATGATTCTAAGATCGTAACAAACGTATTACTCGCTAGTATTGATACGGAGTCAGAAATACCTTTAGCTTTAATATCAGAAACACCTGATCCTATCATTCGACCGAAGAGAGGTGAATCTATAGCTGCGGTAATATCTGATAAGCTCTCAGAAACAACAGGTGGTCATAATTTACGACAACCCAAAAGAAATATGAGTAACGACGAGGATACAAATGAGAATAAGAGGAAGAAAAAATCTAACATTTTAAGAGAAAGTAAATTAGTTTTACCAGCACGAGTACTAGTGACTAAAGTGCAGGCGGAACGGTTACAAATAAATGATGCTTCAAAGAAGATAAACTTGCAGCATAAAAAAACAGAGGTACATGAGTCTGCTGAAATTAAAACGGTTGATATGAAAAAGAAAACCAGGAGACGTAAAGCAATTAATAGAACTGGTTTTCCTAGTGTTAAAAAGAAGAAGAAAAAAGTTGATAACATTCAAAATCTAACATCGGATAGTCACTTTACTTCCGATACTGATAATAACTCTGCCTTCGAAAGAGTGCCAAAGGATGGAGAAGCAATGAGTAGCTTTTTGGAACGCACTACTAATAAGAAAGTTGAACTGAAAGTTGTCTTAAATAAAGATGAGTGTTCAAAGCAAGGTCGATTAACAGTTGTATCACTTGAAAAATTGCAAGGTAAAGATATACCCAATGAAAATAAAAATAAAACACACAATAGTTTTGAAAATGCGAGTAATGAGAAAAAAATACCAAATTCATCTATTTTGCGAGCTCCAGCTTTACAGTTAAAGAGCAAAACTGAAAAAGAGATCAAGAATCACATTAATAAGTGGGAAGTATTGAGTGAGACTGATAGTATTCCATCATTGACTAGCTCTCTTAGTAATGATCCAGAAGATAGCATACCTTTGAGCCTATTAAATTTGAAATCTGACAGACCCGTAAGCCGTTTGAATAATCTTGAAAGGTTAAAACGGAAAACTAGAGCTTTATCGCCTTCCCAGGAAATCGAGGAAATATTTACGAAACGAAAAACAATGGAAAAAAATTCCAAAGGTTGTTTACGCCCGAAATCAAGCCTTGCAGTGTTATGTCCTAGTGATAGGAGACTCACTAGAAGTTCTGATAACCCAACTGAAGAAACTAAAAATAAAAGAAAGAAAATTGAAAATCAAAACATTGTTTCCGATTCCGAAAAACTCAATATACCTGGCAGTGTAGGTGCCAGAAGAAAATCTCGTGTCCAATCCACTAAAAAGAGAGAAGCACAGTCAACTTCTCGAGAAAGCTCCTTAGATACGGTGGTTAGCCGTAAATTGACATCTAAATCTAGGGAACCGTCACTTGACACTCTTCGTGACAACGACGAAAATGATCCACTTCCACTGAACGAGAAGGAAATAGATTTTGAGAAAAGTATTGACGTATTGTCGAAAAACATAATATGTAAGAAACGAGTAGCTTCATCTCGTGATGACAGCCCAGCTAGTAGTGTGGACAATAGAGATAAACCAGTTATATCGAAGAGAAATCCGCGACTTCGTAAAAAGTTTCTAGCAGCTGGATTGTTTTCTGATTATTATAAAGAAGAGTGAGTTAATCTTTTTTTCAAAATGAAGTTTAAAATAAGTTATTACACATATAAAAGTACCGTTTTACGTTTCAGTCCTAAACCGGAAGGAAAAGGAAAAAATCTTGTTACTCAAACTGAATTCCCACCTGGTCTCTTAGCACCACCACCGTACTGTGAACGGTGGGTTCGTCGAAGGCAACTGCACTTTACGCTTCCCTATGACATTTGGTGGCAACAACATTACAATCAGCCTGTTCCATCATGGAATTACAAAAAGATACGCACAAGTAAGTTTTAAATTTACACATTTATGTTAGGTATTTCAAGAATGTGGCATAACCTTTAATATTTGTTTAGAAAACTGACCACCCATGATATTTTTTCGTGTTGCAGGTTGAAACTATTTGTCTAGGCTTTAATTATACTAGAAATTGTTTTCATATAGTTCAGTGTTTTAACCATTTTTTATTATTGATTGTGTGACGGCAGCCTCTGCGCTTTAATGAACTCAATTAATTTCTAAAAGTTCTATGTTATTGTGCCGAAACTATATCACAATATGTTTGCACCTATTTTAACAAAGTATTTTTATTACGATTAGCGTTACACTCAGACTTCTCCTATCCGGCTACACTCAAGGTTTTAAACACGACAAACATACCTGATAACTAGATGTGTCTTAAACGAGCAATAGTAGCTAACATGATGATGAATAAATACAAGAATCGAAAAATTACAAATTTTATTGAACCCTGAGGTTTTATAGCTATCTGCGGTGTGAGTTTCTTTAAGTTCAGTAGGCTTATCTGGGTTAATATTTTAAATGCGTGTATGTCTGATTAAACCTTAAAGGCTTAGTCTTAATCAATATATAATATTATAATTGATTGATTGATTGGTGATAATTTCAGATGTTTACTACGATGTGAAGCCATCCGCAGAAGAATGTGAAAGTGTTGCGTGCAATTGCGTTCCCTCATCTGGATGTAACGAGGACTGCATTAATAGACTTGTATATGCAGAATGTTCACCACAATTATGTCCCTGCGGGTGAATATTGTTTCATGAATGAGAACAAATTTGTTATTAATTTTGTTATAGATGTTAATTCGCAATTCTTATCAAATTCGTATGTTTTTATTTTGCAGAGACAGATGTAAGAATCAACGTATTCAACGTCATGAATGGGCTTCAGGTTTAGAGAAATTTATGACTGAGAATAAAGGATGGGGCGTACGCACTAAACATAAGATCGTGTCGGGAGACTTCATATTAGAATATGTCGGCGAAGTCGTATCTGATAAGGAGTTCAAGGTTAGTAATTTCTTGAATGCTGTTTAGTTTTTAGAACAACTTTCTCTACATAACCCTATGCTTTCTTTTACACTAGTGTGTAAAATACCAAAAAAATTAAAGCGTCTTGTATTTTTTTTAAATTATTAATCTTTAATTAATCTTTTTTCTTTTTAATATTTTATTATGTATGGGTGATGCCGCCATAAATGCTCATTGTGATGAGTGTTAGCGTCCGGCTACTTTTTTAAAATAAATATTTAAAACTACCAATTTTAATTAGTTTTCCTTGTAAAAGTAACACAAGGTTTCATTTTTATTATTACAAATACGCAAACAACTATAAAACTTATTATATAAACCTATTCTTTTCATTAATTAAAATGATTTTTCACACATAAGGATGTTAATTATTAAAGTTTGAAACGAATCAATCTCTTGAGATTCTTCCGAGAAAATCTTTTCAAGATTTTCTCTAAAGAACTACCTATTTTAGACATATTTTTTTTACTTTAGCCATTAATATAATAATATCATAGAGCAAAATTATGTCCTAATATTGTGACCTTTTATGTTACCGATTTTTAAGTTATATTTTATCTCTCACGAAGCAATTGAGCTGTGGAATCCGTTTTCAATTATACCAGTATTTACCTCTCGTCAATGATGTGTCAATTAGTTGTCGGCCATTATTGAGTCGCTGCATTACTAATTGAGGTCGCATTGTGCTTTTGTTCGCCACAAAAATAAAAAATATTTTCGCCAGGCGATTTTAAGGTGAGTATGTAGTCTTTTGCTTTAATCGACAGATTATTTAGTAAACAAGATGTTCATATTAGGTTTGAAAGCTGTAAAATATTCATTATACTGGTATTTCCGTACATTTATGCTTAATGTATGACTCGTTATTTTGTTTCTGAGATATTTCATGGGCGCCAAAAGCACTGATAAATCCTAAAATTATGCGGATAAAGGGCCACAAAGAGACATCACTTTGAATGTGTAAATGTGTATTGTGAAACCACTTAATTGTACACACAATTGACACAGTATCGTTTTGCGACACAGCGAATTAACATCGAAGTGAATTTCTATTGCGACTAACGAGATATATAGTGATTTCTTGTTTGTTACAGTGAGTTTTAGTAAATAAAGTGCAATAAATATCTAATAACGAAAGTAAAGAAAGGCAATATCAATAAATGTGAGCCGAGTCCTCACTGCAATTGCAGTGGTGACAGGCGGGACTCAATTCCCTCCTATCGACCGAGTGCAGGTACATCCCAAAGCAGCCGTGCCCGGAAAGTACCCACGTCAGTCGGAAGGAAAGGGTCCCATGCTGCCGCCTTGCCCACTCGACGATAACCGGCTGGAGCGCCACCACGGCGGCGAAGCCAGCACGTGGCCCTCCAGCCGGGACGACCAACAAACCATTGTGGCTCGGCGAGCGGCTTCATGCTACTCGCGTTTCTCTCTGGGCGGGGGCCGACTGCCACTATCCACCCGGCACTCAGCCGTCCGTTCGTATACTTCGGCGAGCACTTCCGCCTCCAAATCCCACGGGGGAGTACCGGCCTCCATTGAAACGGTACGGTAACCGCCAATATTCTCGGAGGGCGCCAAAAGCGTGCCCTGTTCAGGCCGGTCAGAGCCGCTGCCCACACCGGTGCACCGTGTACGCACTCATTGCGACGCTAGGTCTACCCAAATTGGGTAAAAGTTGCCCAAGGGCAGACGCAATGCCGACCAGCTTTGGAGCAAGCTGTAGGAAGTGCTAGTCGAAGAGCCGCTTACCGGCGATTATCAGGCCCAGATATTTCATTTCAGTTGACCACGATTGAGGCACGGGGAGGGGGGGAAGGTGGACATCGACGGGGCCCATGGCCTCCGTCTAATCCAGGGACCCTCTCCCAAAGTGTCAACGTGTGGTCAACTTATCAGTAACCTTGAAACTGAAATAGTGTTAGTTTTTAGAACAACTTCATTGTGTTCATATATTTAAAAAATTTCAATTATTTCAAATCATTCGAGTTTTCTGCCAGAAAATTAAACATTTTTTTATTTATTTTTTCATTTTATTATTTTATATTATTTATTTTATTGCTCACTGAGTGAATTCACAATAACAGCATTAAGAATTATTTCTTATAATAAATAAGTAGATGGTATAACACTATTGCATTGGGCTAAACCTGTAATAATAGTGGTTTTTAAAGGAAATAAATAAATAAATTTTATGCAATTAGCTGTTAAACGTTAAGGTCTATAACTAATTTGTATTCCTTGAAAAAAGTTTACGTACACTAACACAAGTTGGCGGCCGGGTGGAAGGGGGGCGCTTTTGGCCGTTTTTGACCGCATGCGGTATTTATTCAATGTTCTATTTACTCATTGTGATATCATTTGTAGCGAAGAAATGGGAAATAAATTGTCAAATTTATATTATATACAAATATATTACTACATATTTATTGACTTTAAACATGGTAATCCTAAATGTTTCTAAAACAATCGCAATAAATAAAAAAATATGTTTAGTTACTTGTGTTACACTTCGCGATATGGCTATACTATAGAGTTCAGCCTTCGACGATTGAGTTGATGTGAAATAAACTCGGGCTAGACCCCCAACTCGTGATGAATAGAGTAATATTGAAATTTAAAATAACGTAGATAATTTAAGAATAATGGCTACGGTGACATTTTTATACCCATATTGGATGTTGGTATTTCAGGAGCGTATGGCGACACGTTATGCTCGTGACACACATCATTACTGCTTACATCTGGACGGTGGGCTCGTGATTGATGGTCACCGTATGGGGGGTGATGGGCGGTTTGTCAACCATTCCTGTCGACCCAATTGTGAAATGCAGAAGTGGACTTCGAATGGTAAGTAACTCAGTTTTTCCCTTATTTTATATTTTAAAGTTATGGCTGTGCTTAAATAAAAAATACGCTATTGAAAAACAGGGAAAAACAGGCAAGTGATGAAAATTTTCGCCATAAATCTCGCATAGTTTGAATACGTCACTAGCCGATTTACAAACAGTTCTCCATAGATTACCAAATTGCTATAACAAAAAATTCGTAGTTTTTTGTTTAGTTACCACAATATTATTGACAACAATCCTGTAGTCCTGGATTATTTACTTTATACCAACATTGTATCACATATTAGTATGTGAGAATTACACTATCACAGGAAAAATGGTTTTTATGCTTTTTATCCTTCTTCTAATAGTCCACAAACCCTAAAAATATTTCTATTAGAGATCATTCTGATAAAAAAAAAATATTCCGTTTCAGGTACTTTCAGAATGGCACTTTTTGCACTTCGCGATATTGAACCTGATGAAGAACTTACCTATGATTACAACTTTTCACTTTTCAACCCTGCTGTTGGTCAGGTATGTCCTTCAATATTTGAGTACCCGAGTGCTAATCATACTTGGTAGAAATTAATGAGGTATTCTTTTTTCTTTATAGCCGTGCAAATGTGACTCTGAAGACTGTCGTGGGGTAATCGGTGGCAAGTCCCAAAGAATAACTAAGCAGCCGTTGAAGACGCAATCCCGAACACCATCGAATGCTTCCAATCAGTCGCAGGGCTCAAATGGAAACCAACCGCGTGTCGGCCGGCCGCGAAAGTCTGCAAAGTGTAATAAAAAATCAGAACAACAGGGGCTTTCTTCGTGCGATATTAAGAATATGACGATATTGAAGTACCAACAACACCTTAACAAATTATGGCAGGAACCACAAATGAAACCGCTAGGTGCTAAAGAAAAGATTCTCGTCAGGGACAGGCACTGCTTCCTATTGAGAAACTTGGAGAATGTGAGTTACAAATATAATCAGTCAATGGTATATTCATGATTAGAATAATGCAACTATACCTTAGGTACAGTTTAAAATAAGCTTTAATACTACTGCTATTTACTCCTCAGCCCATGTTTGAACAATATCGTAGGTAATGTTTCTTAAGCATTCAATTAATCGGCTAGTCTAATTTGTTTTTAATCTATAATATTGAAAATAGAAAAAAAATCTTAACTAAATTGGTCGAAAAATATGTTAATCGGAATGACTAAACAATATACAGGATGTAATGGTGCTCTTCATTAGCCTACAAGTCTTCACTTTCCTGATCGTGTGACTTCTTTCTTTAAGAGATTCCGCAAATATAATGAGTACAGAGCAAAAAATAAAGAATGAAAGTGATTGATTTCATACATAAATACATCTGGAAACTCCTCAATTATTCAAACACATTTAACCCACCAAAACAAAACTAAGAGATCGATTGTGTATTTCTAATGAAGACAGACTTGAAATTTTCACTTAAGATATTTTGCAATATCCTCAAAAGTGGCGCAGTAATCTTGCGTAGAACAGCTGCGTATTATCTTCTGCAATTAATAATAATAAATCTTAATTGATATGAATAACCTGTAACAGTATTCTTAGAGCTAATTAAAAAATAAACAAAAAGTTTAAGGTAAAGATTACAGTAATAGAGTAACGCTAACTCCCAATTATGTCGTAGGTAATCAAAACACTGCATGTTTAGTTAAAGCTACAATTCATATCGTTGACTACATCAATTTAAACATGTCTGACAGGTGCGGCGTATACGCGATCGTCTGTCTTTGGCATTGCCAACATCACCGCCCCACTCGTCGACACCTCCAACACCTGGGCCAGCAGCTGTGGTAAATAGCTCTGCAACAGCTTCAACTGTTGTTGCTAATAAAAGCAGCGTATGCACCGTAGACCCATTGGCACCATCGCGAAATATGGATGAAGTGGGCGCGTTGGCAAGGCTACGTGCGCTACGAGATGCTACACCACGCGCATCTCGCCCAAAAGACGATCCTACAGCGCCACGTGCTCAGCGACTCGCAACCATACTAAAAGCTATTTGCCGTACGCTGCTTGATTGCAAAGGTGAGATAAGTTTGTTGCTTTAAAATTAAATACCGAATGAGAGATTCGGTAAATAGTTTAATGTATTTTAAATTGTTTGTTTTTTATTTAGACGACAAAGATCGTCAATTATGTGCACCACTTATGCGCACTAAGGGTGAGCGTGGTAAACCTCAAGAAGGCGATGCTTTAGATCTTGCTACGTTGGAAGCTAATGTGGAAGCGGGACACTACACTACGCTTTTACAATTCGATTCTGACGTTGCAACTATCCTCGCGAGCTTCATGCGTGAACATGGTCGTCTTTCTACCATAGGAGCTGCCGCTGCTCAACTTAGAAAGGTACACATACATATAAATTTATATAACTATGTTAATAAAATATACAACCTGCAATGTAAAATTCTGCGAACAATCGTTTTGGCGAATTGTAATTAAAAATGTTTTTCCAGTCCAAACACAATTTAAATATGTTCACCTAATTGTTAATACTTGCAGGTATACAATACTACCAAGGCTGAGTATGCCGATCTGCTTACTAGAGTTCTCGGTCCCGATGAACCTCTGCCTTCTGGATTTTTGCAGAAAACTAAAACAGGTAACACTCTTACGTACCGACTCTATAGGAAACTTCGATGATCGATCATCGTAATATTCTCGTCTCGTCGGCTCGTATACATTGTGTAAGATATAATTCACGGTGAATCAGACGGGTGCAGCGAATGAAAACAATGTAAATTTGTTACAGACGAGGTAATAATGTGCATCTGCGGCCTACACGTGGAGGAGGGGCTGATGGTGCAGTGCGGCGGCGCGGGCTGCGGCGTGTGGCAGCACGCGCGCTGCATGCGCGTGGCCGACACGCGCGCGCCGCACTACTGCCACCACTGCGCGCCCGCCAAGGTAACCTACCTCACCTTTGAGCTCATTTCATCACTCGCTGCTAATTATTTATTTGGTTCGCTGACTGCTGCAGCTGACTTTTTGCATTCATTTTCATGCACTTAAAAGTTTAGGCTAACAGATACTGTTCTAAATGTTCTAAATAAATAGTTAAATTATTTATGACCAAAGAGAGTGAAAAATTGATTTAATGTTAGACCAACGTGAATAAATATATGTAAACATATTGTTTTCTTTTAGGTCGATCGAGAAATTCCATTGGACGAGTACACGGAGGAGGGCCACCAGTTCTATTTGTCGCTGATGCGCGGTGACTTACAAGTTCGACAGGGCGACACTGTGTACGTGTTGCGGGATATTCCTATTTGCGATAGCCATCCAGACGTGAGCCAGAAATCCAAGGACAAAACTGAGTCTCTAAAAACCAAACGCGTTGATAGAAAGAAGTTGAAGAATATTGCTAAAGGGAAAGATAAGACTGAAGACAATATACAGAATAAGGTATAAAAGGACATATTTATCGTTTAAATTCAATGTAATAAAACTTAAAAAAGTACAAAATAGATTGAACTAATTCCTCTCCTAGTCGCCAAGAACGTCAGACGACATAACCCTCTTGACTGTAGTATCTATTAATGCATACTCATTATGTTAAGTTTTTTTTTATAATTGAAGTAAATTCAAAACATGGCACAGACTCTTTTAATTTAAATGAGTTTTATTTTGTTAAGGATGGCGAGGTGCGTAAGCACACATATCAAACAATTGGCGAAATACCTGTGTCGGAACTGGACATATTCCGTGTGGAACGACTATGGAAGCATAAAGACACCCAAGAGAGATATGTCTACGGGCATCATTACCTGAGACCACACGAGACCTTCCATGAACCTACAAGGAAGTAAGTAAATGTTTATGATCTATTATCATATGTTGCACAAGCATATCCGTCATGAAATGTGATTTATCATCTGTATTTTTTTATAAACATGTTTTTTATTTTCAGATTTTTCCACAATGAAGTAATGCGTGTACCCCTTTACGAGATAGTACCGATTGAGCTTGTTATGTCACAGTGCTGGGTTATGGACCTCAACACTTATTGCAAGGTAAGTTTACTACAAAAAAGTAGTATTAAGTTATTAGACTAGGCATAAATTTCAGAACCTGATAAGTATGTAGGGCTTGCACAAAATTCACAATCACTTTAATCACATGTCTAGATAATTTATTGCATTAATTTTATAAAGTAATCAAATTTATAATTCATTAAGGTAAGTCTTTAAGATGTCATTGCAAAATTAAACGAAAACTTTCTTTATCTAGTTTTCTGTTGTTGTCACTAACACTATCTATACATACAGGGTCGTCCAGTGGGTGCGGCGGAGCCACACGTGTACATCTGCGAGTTGCGCGTGGACCGCACCGCTCGCCTCTTCACCAAGATCTCGCGCCCCAAATACCCCATTTGCACTAGACCTTACGCCTTCGACCACTTCCCGCATCGCCTTAAGATCACACGTACTTACGCTGTGAGTCACCTTTTACATTGACTTTGTTGACATTTTTTATTCGCTAAAGAAGCGTTTGGGTTTATTGATATATACGTGTATTTTGTAGCCTCACGAAGTATCGCCGGAGTATTTAAAAGGCAGAGCGGCTCGCAATGCAGCAGTAGCAATAGAGAAAAATGGCAAAGGTGTTTCTAAAGATACAAAAAATAAAACTACAGCAATTTCCGTGGCAGATGTTACTAAAGTAAGTTATCAACCTTAAAACTTGTATGTAAACTTGTATTTCCTGATGTTATCAATTGGGAACAAACATTTGTATGATACTTTGAATATTTTTAAGTATCAAGTTAAGAAAAAAGTACAGAGCCTTTCTAATGCTAAGCTGTTAATGGTACCTATAAATACTCGCCACAGCGATTAAATCATTCCCCTCCTCCATTCCTATTCCTTTTACTAACCAAGTCTAGGGGATAGGTTAAGCTACAGAAATTCATTCTGAAATAGCAGATGTTATTTTTACTGGAAATTTCCTATAATTTAAAATATGCATTTAAGAGTTCAATTAAGTTAGGGTAGTAAATTTAAAGCTCTCTGGGTAGTTAATTTAATTGGCTCTTAATAAAGCGCTGTTCTCACTTTCGGGTAGCATAAGCATACCACCTAGACAAAGGAGAGTGTTTACAACTTACGACGATCCCAGATTGTAAATCGTATTTATTTAAAAGGTAAGAAAAAAAATCACGCTTAATATATATGGTCCGGTCGGAGATCCAAATGTGTCTGATACATTTTTTTTTTATTACTTATCAATCATCAAAGGCCAAGCCTGGCAATGCAAACTTCAGTCGTTCAGTGCGGAAGCTTGTTTCGATATAGTGAACCGTTCGTTGTAGGGTTGCGGAGCGGGGCGCGCGAGTACGAACTCCGGTGCGGGATGCGGTGCGCGGTCGGCGGCGGCGCAGAAGGAGCGCGTGAACGGCATCGCGCGGCGGCTGCTGGCGCGCGGCGGCTCGCGCGCGCCGCTGGACGCGTCCTACCTGCTCGCGCCGCGCCGCGCCCGCCGCTCCGTGTCCTGACGCTGTCTGTGCTGCCGCTAGCGGCGCGGCGCCGGCCCCCGCGGCCACTCTGCTCTCTGTCCCCGTTCCACCGACCGTTTGGGGATGAAGCGTTGTTTTCCCAGCCCCGTGAGCGACTCCCCGGTCGATAACATAGATCTGTCCGTCGGGGAGCGGAACGGCCCCCTTAGGATGTCGACACCCGATATGACTCGAAGCCGGTGTGTATCCAAACTTACGACTGATACGCACTACTGATCTACGTTACCGGTTAACGTAGAGGGTGCGCAACTCCGTGACGTTTACGGTCCCGGAGCGCGGGAGTCACCGTAGCGTACCGACGCTCGTGATAGTTATATATTTTTATTCGGGACGCTTCGGTATTGTTTTGACGATTTGTGTATGTCCCGATAAACTAGGCTAATCGAATTAATAGTTAACGACCACTGGTGCGAACTGATGTTGAATGTTGAAGAGTTTTAATAGAGGTTAGATACGAGAATGTTGTTTGGGCGGTTGTTAATTTAATGTTAACTATTAATTATATTTTTAATTATCTTCCGCTAGAATAGAAATTAAAGGAAGTAGATTATTTTTCTGGTCATTTGTAGTATGTGCTCGGAGCGACCGGCCGGCTAAGCTATCGTAGCCGCCGTTCGTGCACTAAAATCTCTCTAATTTTTTACAGTTCAGTTAAATAAGTTGTAAATAATGTACCGTTTAAGGTGGTTGGTTGTTTTATGTTAAAATCAAGATGATTAATATATTGCTTACGCTACAGACCTTATGTTAGTCCACTATGAAGTGTTTCTCTGCTTGTTTATGACATATTATGTATAACGCGAGTCGCTCGTTTCGCGGAGTTTCTCATGCTAGCCTTGAAATTGTGATCACAGAGAACAAAGTTGTTTTTGTTTCTAATTTATTTGTAAATTACTGTTAGTTTTATAATTTAATAACTATAACACTTAAATGACTTTTCTTACAACACTAAGAAACCGTTTAAAGTATTTTCCCTACTATTTACACTCATTAATATTATTAATTTATCAGCAGATGTTGAGGTATTTGGTCCCAAAATCTAGTACAAAATCCACCAATATGAAATAAGTATCATATAAGAAGATCTGGAATTGTATACCGCTACTAAATTAAAATATTTAATTTATATAAGGTACATAGAATATCATTTTGTTGTCATTAAGATACAAATAGAATGCACCTTTAGACAATTATCAGTAATATGAAGTACATTGTCAGTAATATGAAGCGAAAGACTTATAAATGTATTTAAATATATGTTTGATTTTTCCATGCGTGCAACAATGTTGTACGATGCTATATGGACAGATGATAAATAATAAAGGTATAATCTTGTTCTTATTGTATAATTTAGGTGAGTTTATTACAAGCGTCTTAATCGCAAAATGGTCTAGGTTATTCTGTTGTGAGCCAGGAGCGTTTTAAAGTCATCCCAGTAAATCTGGTTAGCGTGATATTTACTATCATTTGCACATAGAAATCTTTTCCTTGGTAGATAAGTAACAGTTAATATACCATTTCTACCACAAATAGAAACGTTGTCGTTAAACTGGATATTCATTTTATCTATAGTTAGTTAATTCACAAGGATTACAAATATGTACTTAACTAGTAAAAGAAATAGTTTTCAATAGTCCATACTCTAGCACTAAGTATTCACATTCTCGTTACTTATGTGGATGTGTTATTTTAAACCCACAAACATACTTAGTTTTTAAAGTTTATCACACACTTAGTCAAATTTTCAAATCCACATTTTGGGATCAAAATTATATATCATGCCACTTGACATTTAAAATGTTCATTTTAAATTGTGTAAATAGTTTGACTTTTGAACAATTATATCGCCCTATTTAAAGTTGAAATTATGAAATTAATACCTAATACTTTAGTATTATAGTTTTTGTAGTAGGTACTTCATTATAATTTTGTAAATTGAGTTAATGATTATATTATTATTAATCTATGTCGAAGTGATAACACATGATATTTTATGAGTTGTGATATCATTTAGAAACCTTAAGGAAATCAAACTATTTATACAATGAAGTACTATTAGAAGTGTTATGATTCATTACTTATTTGATAAAACGTGCAGCTTTACTATTTATATGTTTTAAGATGCCATTTGTTGTAACTCATGTTTTAATATTAAATTAAATTGGATCATATTGCTGTTTTATTCTTGGCCACCGTGATGGATTTTGATAACACTTAGTTTGCAGGGGGTTTCGGGGGCGATTAATCAATCTGGCTAGGTTTCGTTTTTAGAAAATTTACCAAAAAAAAAATAACGAGCAAAGCTCCTATCCCAGGTACTATCTTCTAAACTAAGATATTAGTAAATCTGGGACAAAAAAATATAAATTTGGGAGAAAACAGATCTTCGCTAGGTGCCCCAGTTTCTGAGATATAAACTATAGGCGTTCCTAGGTGGCCGACCTGGGGAGAATTTTCCTAGGTGGGCCACCTACAGTCGTCACAAAATAAGAAGCCCGTTTTGACATTTGTCATGGTGGCGTAACTAGTGATTAACCATACGACTCGGTGCACGATACTTACGATAAATCGATCCAAGCTTGTAGAGTATTTGATTGATTTGACTATATATCACAAAGTGCATTGGATTTAAGTTATAATTAGAACATATAACTTAAACTTTAATGTTATAGTCAATTTGTCTTTAATTTAAAAATTTAGCTCAATCACAACAAAATCAAGAAAAGTGAAATCAATCATTTTCTTCTGATGACGAGCCAGATGAGCTATCGTCGCCTGTATATATAATCATTTCATTTTCTATAATATTATCAATATTGACGTCTCTAAGTCTCTATCATAATCTTCCTTTATTATTTTTCGCGTCTTTTCTACCACTTTTGCCCAATCTTCTTTAGTTATTTTATCACAAGCTTCTTTTAACAATGTCATCATATTCTTAGTGGAGAATGGTGGCTTTGTATTATAACGTGCTGCGTATACTTTGACCTGAGCCCAGATTAATTCAATAGCATTGTACTGACAATGGTACGGCGTCGTTCTTATCAATTTGTGACCATGTTGAAGTGCCAATTCATCGATTTTATATCTTAATTTTGCCGGTTTATTTTGTTTTACTAATTCCAGCAGTTCAGCTTTCAATAAATTCATATCAGCTTCTACGCCTTTTCTTTGTAACCACGCCACTAAATCTGCCTTTTTGCTTGCTTGAGTAGGTGCCTTATTTATTTGAACTGAATGGTAAGGTGCATTATCCATAATTATTGTGCACTGTTCGGGAAGGTTTATTAACAACTTAGTAAACCACTCTAAGAATTTATTTGCATCCATTTCTTCGTGGTATTCTTTTGTACTTCTGGACTCGAATGCGAGTAGAGCATCATGCAAAACCTCCCCCGGCTGATCCGGCATGGCAGATTATTAGGCGTCCACCCTTACCCATTAGCACTTTTGAACCAGATGGCTTGGTATCATACGTCCATGACTGTGGCACGGTATGATTCGACTTCAGCGTGTGCGTTACCCCAGCAAAATCATGTCGAAAATGGTCATTTAAACGTTATAGATAATTAGTTGCTCCCCTTCTGTAATTGTTAGGCACATTTTTACCATAGGTGGCCAAATTAATAGGGACAGTGCTCGTATTTATGTAATTTATAGTTTATCATATTTTTTTGAATAAACGATGTTGTTTTTAAGCGGTTATTGTATCTGATATATTTACTGGTATCATTATTATTGTTTTTGTCAAATGGCAACACAGAATACGTGAGTTTTTTATCAATTGTGTGACGTTTCTTCTGGGCCCGTAAAAAGCGCGGTTTTCGGTATTATTGTTGTATTGTCTAGGTATTATTTTTTCATTAGTTTTAACCGACTTTTGTGTCTTAATTAATCAAAAGGTAAGTAATGCTCCGTATAAGAATAGTTTTGCTACGTTTTGTCAATGAGTTTACATTTTATTAATGGTTCAACACGTTAACCCAAAATTATAAGCTTTTTAGGATGGGTAGGACTTTGGACACGTCTCCAAGAAAATGTAGAGAGATACAAACGTTGTTACTGCACTCCACACATTCTCAGAGAGACATAGCAGCTATTGCTGGGGTTTCAAAGTCTGTCGTCAATCGAATAAAAATAAAAATTGACAATAAAAAGCCTCTTGAAGCAAATCGTGCTGGCAAATGTGGCAGGAAAAGGATTACAACAGCTCGTACCGATTGAAAAATCAGGAACATCTGCTTCGAAAATCGTAAAAAGGGCGTTGCTCGTTTAACAACTATGATAAACGAAGAGGGCATAAAGATTTCAGAGAGGACAATGCGGAGGCGGTTGGTCGAAAAGAATCTCATGGGAGTGCGGCCTGCCAAAAAACCACTAACCGATAGTATGAAAAAGAAACGACTCCAATGGGCTAGGCAACATCGATCTATGACTATTGCAGACTGGAGTCGAGTAAGTGCAACTATTTTGTATAATGCAATTGGTCAATAACAATTTATTTATTTATTCTACTATTCATTCTATCAATTACAGGTTTGTTTTCCGACGAATCTACCTTCCAAATTTTGGTTGACAAAAGTTATTTTGTAAGACGAAGTCCTGGTAAGAAATTTCACGCTGATTACCTTGTAGAGAAGGTTAAACACCCGGTTAGTGTCATGGTGTGGTCTGTCATCTTAGCCAAAGGCATGGGACGCCTATACATTGTGGAAGGGACTATGAAACAAGACCAATACAAGAGAGTACTAGAAACGCGATTATTGCCGCAGTTCAATGAATGGTTCCCAAATGATGACGAATACATTTTTATGCAAGACTCAGCACCGTGCCACAAAGCCAGAAGTGTAACTGCATTTTTGGCTGAAAAAAATGTCTGTTTTGCCTTGGCCAGGGAATTCACCAGACATGAATCCAATAGAAAACATGTGGGAACTCACCAAACGGGCGATCGCGAAAGAAGTGATTACCACTAAGCG